GGCAGGAAAGTTGACATTTTAAACCTTAATAAAAAAATCAATACAGGGCTTTAGAATATCGATACAGTATCGGGAAGTGAAATATCGCCATATTTCAGTGTATCGATATTTTCTTACACCCCTATTATGTTCTGCTTAAAATATCCGCTTCTGTGCATTTAATATTTCCTAATTTCTCCTGACAGCGGCTGCGTTTCAGCAGGGAAAGATCCCCCCCACACCCTTCCCAGGTGGACCTCCTCCAGGTAAGCTTATCTCCGTTTCTTCTGAAACCAACTCCAAAGCAAGCAGTACACATTTATTATTAAATACCACAAATGCTGTCAACATTATTCTCCTCCCCATTAACCTAAAACTTTAAAGCTTTGCTTCTCATTGGAATGAAGAGCTAAGCAAAGGAGAAATGCATTGCCCTGACAGGTGGATGCATGATGGCTGTTGATTGACTGATGGGGAAAACTAGCCGTGTTGTAACGCAGACCCACAGCTCCACACGTGTGTGTCAGAATGCTACCACTGCAAGGTGTTTCATTGCAGTGGTTGCACAGTAATGTTTGCTGTTTGTGATAAAGCTGGACCTCCACGCCCAGGTATGCTACCAACGCCGCCCATGGGAGGACCACCTATGATGCCCATGATGGGGCCCCCACCACATGGGATGATGCCCGGCGGGCCCGGTAAGAAACTTCTTCCACTTATTGATTCACATTAGTCGGCGAGCTTTTCGTGTTGTCGTGAAACCGTTTTCTGAGCTGCGTATCTCATCAACGTCACCTCCGGCAGGCATGAGACCCCCGATGGGAGGACCAATGCCGATGATGCCTGGACCACCTCACATGATGCGTCACCCYCGACCCATGATGATGCCGGTCAGGCCCGGAATGGCCCGTCCAGACAGATAAGACTGAGAGGACGCTTTGTTGTGATAAACAGATTCTGTCCAGTTAAAACACTTGGATATGTTTTTTTTAAAGTCAACCTTAAACCTCGAACACAGATCCCTTCGAATTRAGACATTTTTCTTCCTGGTATTTATTGCTTTTCATTGCATTTGAAATAATTTCAGGTTATTTTGTGAAAAAACATCACTTTTTTATTATTAAACAACATCCTCAGTTTTTAGTGTCAGAAGCTCAGATTTACTGTTCAGCCCACACTTCTTCATAAAACATGATTAGGTGTTTTTTTTTTACTTTGTTGTAGGTTTGAAATTGTTTTGTAAGTCATTTGCATTGGTTTGGGAAATAAAACAATGCTTTGATACAAATTTATTTCAGGCAGTGATTTGACTGTTTTTATGCATCGAATTCTTCAGTTAATAAATATTTAGCTTAATAAGATGTTTAAGCAGAAGCTTTGTTTTGTAGAAACTTGTTTTTTTATGTTTCAAATGCAGAATGAGAACAAAATTTCTCTTGAGTTTGTCATAAGTAAACACATCCACTGAGGATAAATCAGCACAAATAACATATCTAGTACAGGTATGAGGGGATTTAAAGATATTTCCTTTGTAATAAACTACAAGCTAAAATAAACGTTAGCTGTGAGGGGGGTTTAATTTCTGCTGTTAATATACGGTTTAAAGTAAGCTTTTTTTTGACATTACCATTTCCCAGCTAAGGGTGAAAGTTTTAGAGACACAAGTAAAAAAAAAAAGCTATAAAATAGTACATTTTCTAAAAACAGTTGGTAACTTTGCCACTGGCTGTTTAGTTTCCTCCAGAAAGCGCCTGGATTTGAGTATAATTTCACTATTTTTTATTCTTTTACTTGTTCTTAAAATGTACCAAGTGGCTCGTGAGATACTTTGCTTATTATAACTAAGTAATTTTAATTTTCTTTGAAAGCTTTTTTTATGCTTTTACTTGTTCTTAAAATGTACCAAGTGGCTCGTGAGATACTTTGCTAACAGAAGGGAAGAAATTTTAAAGCTCTTGCACAATCTGGTGGTGGGGATCAGTCTCAGCTACCACCACACCAACTTTTAGCTCAATATGTCAAACCGATGGAGTTAAACTCATTTTTAACCCAAAAATGAGGAAAAAAATATCGAATGTACGAAATATATTTTGTAAAATAAGCCTATCATTACTGTGAACCTTACAGTGTGTTATATTGTTTTAATCAATTATGTTTTGTGCACTTGTTTTATAAACTTTATTTTTTAATCTGCTCTTATACATAACTACTGTTATACATACCTAACAAAATATTGTAATCAACTAAATCATAAAATTTCAATAATTTCAGTTTACAGAATAATACTTGATGGATAATAGTAATGTTTCCGACTGATTAGTCTTATAACTGTTTGTTGCTAAACAAAAACAGGATGTGTAATTGTCTTACATGCTTTCCCCCATACATCAGCACAATAGGCCAAGTGTGGAACAATTAATGTTATATAACATATACAGAGCTTTATCATTAAACAAGTCCCTTACTTCGTAAAGCAATGCAATAGATTTAGCTAGTTTTATCCTTAAGTAATTAACATGAGGTCTCCACGTCAGTTTCTCATCAATAATAACACCCAGAAACTTTACCTCACTGACTCTACTAATCTCCACACCATCAAATCTAAATGGAGTATTGATAGTTTTTTTTTGCTCATTGTAAATATCATATAATTAGTTTTATCCAAATTGAGCGATAATTTGTTAAGTTTAAACCAGTTTTGTATTTTCGCAATTTCTGTTTGCATTTTCTCTAACATCCGTTCTGTCTTTACCCGAACAAAAAAAAAGTGGTATCATCTGCAAATAAAACGCATTTAAAGAGCTCTGACACGTTAACCAAGTCATTCACATACAAAATAAACAACTTTGGTCCAAGTATAGAACCCTGAGGAACTCCACACGTAATTCCACATGGTTCAGATCTGACATCATGTACTTGCACAAACTGTTTCCTATTTTCCAAATAACTGCACTACAGTTTAGCTCTTGTGCTAAACTCCGACATTTATATACATAGAATATTGATTAATGTGCATGGTCCTTTTAAATGAATGAAATGAAAATGGCATCTACAGTATCTGTAAATATGTTTTGATCATTTCAAACTTTATTTATTTATTTATTTATTTTGCAAATCAAAGTAATTACCAAATTATGTTGCAAAGTGCTTTGAATTTTTTAAATTTGATTTGGAGTAATTCTGTCAAACTGTCATGTTTTATAAGAACAGAGTGAAAAAAAAATCAAAGCAAGTCTTTTGAGGCATGTAAGAAAAAAAAAGTTAAATTTTCAAACAACTTCAGATTTATTAACATTTATTGATGGAACCATGCAGCATGACAAAAAGCTGAGTTATTCCTTTATTAGAACCTCTGGTTGAAGTAAAGTCCACATTATAATACATTTGTAGCCTTATTCATTGTGTTTATAAAAGGGTAATATGCTGTTTAATGCAAAAAACATTAAGATGAGGGAAAAAATATTTATTTCTCTGATAGTGTAGCTCATTTGATTCTGGGACAGGAGGGGGTGGGTGGTGGGGTTGCCTTTTTAGGAGACACCTGATCACAGCTCCACTCACCACCACCTCCACCCGACACGATGAGGCTCATACTGCAGCTCTTTCACGTTACAACATTCGAGGAGMGCTTTGAGGATGGAACACCGGTGGAGCTGAGAAAGGTGTTAAAATGTTTTGGATTAAATCGACCAAAAAGAAGTGTTAAAATCCAAGACCTCCCCTCTGAAGTCTTTTATTTATTTATTTTTGAGTCGGGTGATCTCGTGAAGGAAACCTAATCATGGAGAAGTTCAAAGCAGCCATGGTTCTGGGTGCCGCCGGTGACRCTTTGGGCTACAGAAAGGGTCGATGGGAAAGCTGCACATCAGGGAAGAAGATCCAGGAGGAACTGGTCTCTCTGGGGGGACTGGAGGCTCTGAAACTGGACCCGGATCACTGGCCCCTGAGTGATGCATCGCTGATGCACATGACCACAGCCGAAGCACTAATAACAGGTAGATTATATGTTAAAATAATAATAATAATAATAATATCATAATGTTTATTTGGTTTAAGAGGCTTTTATTTTACTTTATTTTGAAAAATAAAGGACTTCTTCTCATGAAAGTTGATGGGATCTGACAGGTGAACATCTAAAACGGCTAAAATGCCGTCACCAAAACAAAATCTTCATTCAGTTTGGAATGCCCTCAGCCAAACGTCATCCCAAAGCTCTTTCCAGAACYGAAGAGTCCAAAATAGTGCACTTTACAAAAGCTGATCCTCTGAACAATAGCGGGTCGGAGCCCTCTGTAATCTTCTCGTATCGCGTTTTGGCGGCAGATGCAGGGTCGTCGTCAACGACACTAACTCTAAAAAAAGAAAAAAGTTTAAAAAAAAAGGGGTGGGGGGGTGACATCTCTTGAGATTACGAAGCTCTATTTAGCTCCAATCAGGCGTGCCTTTCCCTAAACATCCATATGAGCCAAACGTGTGAGGCATGTTGTTTAYGTTCCTGGTTTGAGATATTTTTATTGTCCCACAGAGGCAATCTGAGATTCTCATTCTTCTCAAAAGCAATTAAGACATTAAAACGTACCATCCAGCACGGGCGGAGCTAGAAGGGTGATTAGGGTGGCCACCCCAGGTGCCACCCCCAAATAATATACAAGTAGGTGGACTGTGAAACCCACCAAGTTGTGAGTGTATTTTGTGATTGGTTAGTTGTGCTAATATTTCCTCTCAAACAGATTAATGAGAGTTTAAAAGTTGATTAGCTCGTAGTTTGAAGACGTGACTCATTCTGGACCTTCTGGTTCTAATCTGTGGTGAGGTGGAGAGAAGCTAAATTTAGCTCATCACAGCACCCTTTATCTCACCCTGCATGCCAGCACTAATACTCTGTGTGCTTTGTTACTTTTTTAAGTTCTCTCTGGTAAATCCACCCACTTTGTCAGGACTGGTAGTCCTTTAGGGGCATGAAACCTGGTCCTAACGCAGCAGAAGGTCATTTCTGGGTTAKTTTAGGCTTTATGAATTGTGTTCTTGTATTTGATACCTTTTAGGACCRTTTCTGGTATACACATCTACCTTTTCAAGACCAGTAGTGCTTAAGGGAACTAAAGACTGGTCCTAATATGGTGGAACTCCATTTTGGGGTTGGGGGTTAGCGTAAGAGGTCAGGGTCGGGCTTTAGGAACAGCTGGAAATGAATGGGAGTCAATGGATGGTCCTAAGGCTAGAAATACAAACCTGTTTGTGTGTGTGTGTGTGTGTGTGTGTGTGTGTGTGTCCAGATTACTGGTGTCTGGAGGACCTGTACAGGGAGTTGGTGCGTGTCTATGTCGAAGCCATGGTGTCTCTCCAGGGACGAGCCCCAGATCCGTCCACGGTGGAAGCTTGTGTTCACCTCAAACCTCACAACTTCCTGCTGGCCTGGCACACGCCTTTTAACGAGAAGGGTATCAGAACATTTAGGATTTTATTTGTTTTTAAACTTTAATTAGAGGAAATGGATTTTCTGTAAAAACACTGTGTGGACACCTAAAGCTGAGATGAAGCAGGACACATGCTAAATGCTAATAAAAAGGGCAAAACTCTAGCCAAAAACTAAAACAGTAGCTACCAAAGGCTAGCCAAAACTTAAAGTAGAAAAATGGTAGCTAAAAGTATCAAAAATTTATCTAAAAATAATAAACATTGGTTAAAGGATAAATTATTCAGACTTGTAACTATAAACTAATGTATCGGAACAGTAGCTAAAAGCTAAAAGCAACTAAAAACTAAGCAGGCATGGGAAATCCTGGTCCTCGAGGGCCGCAGCCCTGCTTGTTTTACTTGTTTCTCTGCTCCAACACACCTGATATGAATGGATGATTTTCAGGCTTCTGCAGTATGGAGAACCAAAACTGACATAATTAGAAATAAAAGCAGAATTACATGAACCACTAAATAAATACACTTAAAATGCACCAATTAAATTAAAAAAGAACTTTATCTCCTGTTTTATATTGTAAGTGACTTTCATATTTATTTTTTCTAGCTTAGTTTCAATAAATTAGTCTATATATTTAAACTAAATTTTAATTTGACTGTTTTTAAATATATATTAATTGTTTTTCCTTTTACTTGTACATGCATGTGTCTTAAACATTTATACTTAATTATTTTACATTTTTTCCCCCAAGTCTTTCTATTTCTATGTGTTGCATGCTTGTGATGCCTCAGTTTAGCTAAAAGTTTAAAGTTTAGTTTAAAAGAAAGGCAAGGAGGAAAACATTACCTGTGCGTTTATTTTTAACTAAACTTTAAGCTAAACTGCGGCAGCACAAGCATGCAACACATAGAAATAAAAAGACTTGTTGGACATAATTATAAAAATATTTCAATTTAAGCATTCAAGAGACACAAATGCATGTACAAGTAAAAGGAAAAACTATGTAAAATATACATATTAAAAAACATTACAATTTGTATTATGTGTTAAAATACATAATTTATTGGAACTAATCTGGAAAAATAAATATGAAGGTCAATTAAATTATAAAACACGAGGTAAAGTTCTCCTTTTTAATTTACAGTATTTGGTGCATTTTAAGTGTATGTATTTATTTAAAGGTTCATTATCTATTTCTGCTTTTATTTCTAATTATGTCAGTTTCAGTCCTCCATAGWGCTGCGGCCCTCGAGGACCATGGATGCCCACCCCTGAAGTAAAGGCTAAAAGAAGCAGAAAGTAACCTAAGTTGAAAATATTAGCTAAAACACTGAAGTTGCAAACTTGTAGATAAAAGCTAATGTAGCCACAGTACCTAAAAAGTAACCAAAAGCTACCTAAAGCTAAAATTAGCAGCAGAATAATTAAAAACACACACACACACAAAAAAACAATAGTAAAAAAAAAAACTAAAATTAGCAGTAGCTAAAAGTAACAAAAGCTAGCTACAAATATCAGAAACCAATCTCAGAGTAGTAAATGCTAGCTAAAATACAAAYGTTTCAGACTGGTAGCCAAAGGCTAATTTAGCCCAACAATAGTTTAAAGTAACAAAAGCTAAAACTAAAAATAGCGGAAAAGTAACTAAAGACTAAAACCTGGAAATAGTAAAAACTAGCAAAAAACATGAAATTCACAGAATAATAGCTAAAATCTAAAAGTAAAGACTAGCTAAAAGCTACAAAGAGCAGAAAGTGATCTAAAAATAGTAAACACTATCTGACAGCTAAAAGCAGCAGGCTGGTAGTTAAAAGCTAATGTAGCAGAAGAGTAGCTAAAAGTAACAAACTGCAAAGTAGCAGAACAGTAACAAAAGACTACGGTAACTAGAAGTAGCAAAACATACCTAAAACCCCAAATAACAGAACAGTAGCTAAAAATAACAATGGCTAGCTAAAAGCTACAAATAGCAGAAAGTAATCTAAAAATAGTAAACACTGTCTGACAGCTGAAGGTAGCAGGCTGGTAGTTAAAAGTTAATGTAGCAGAAGAGTAGTTTAAAATAACAAAAGGTACCTAAAAGCTAAAAGTAGCAGAATAGTRTCTAAAAGTCAGAAAGCAAACAAATGTGTGAAAGAAAACAGATAAACTGAATCAGCATTTAGTAAAAGTGTGTTTTTGTTTCCAGGGTCGGGGTACGGAGCAGCAGCTAAAGCCATGTGTGTCGGGATGAGGTACTGGCAGCCTGAGAGAATAGAAAACCTGGTGGAGGTTAGCATCGAGACGGGCAGAATGACCCACAACCACCCAACAGGTGAGGGAGTTCAGGACATCACCTGCTTGTTGTTAGAGGTCATAGGATCAGGGCTRAAGTTRYTTGTGTTGCGTCTCTTGGTTTTCAGGCTTCCTCGGCTCCCTGACCACAGCGCTGTTTGCTTCGTACGCCATCCAGGGGAAGCCTGTGGTGACGTGGGGCCGCGAGCTCATGAAGGTCATCCCTCGAGCAGAAGAGTACTGCAGGAAAACCATACGACACATGGCAGGTTGGTAAATTCTACTTCATGATTACGATAACTGTGTGCAGAGGTTTAACTGTTCATTCTTCTGCAGAGTATCAGGAGAACTGGTTTTACTTTGAGGCTAAGTGGCAGTTTTACCTCGAAGAGCGCGACATCGAGAAGGAGGGACAAAACCAGCCTTTGTTTCCAGATCGTTACGATGCTGAGGAGATGGATAAAGTAAGCTGGGCTTTTGGGTTTTCCTCCCAATTAATGGAATATTATTATAGTTATGTTATTGTAAAACAAAGTGACTTTGAATGCTAAACCAAAATGCAAGATGGCTGTTGGAGCAAATATTAAACTGCACAACTCAAGCATTTTGGGTTATTTTGGGCAAAAAATTTGCTGAAGTGGTAGCAGAGGATGATCCCAATCGCATACTAAATCCAAATCCAAGATGGCCGCCACAGTTAAAATTTAAAATTGATCACAATTCTGCTGTCTTTAGACATATTGGGATGAAATTTGGTGAGTTGGTAGCTGGAAACAATCCCCATCACATACTGAAATCCAAATTAAAAGTCCAAGATGGCCGCCATAGCCAAAATGTAAAATGGACCATAACTCAGCTGTCTTTAGACGTATTTGGCTGACATTTGGTGAGGTGGTAGCTGGGAACAATCTCCATCACAAACTAAAATCTAACTTAAAAATCCAAGATGGCTGCCATAGCTAAAATGTAAAATGGACCATAACTCTGCTGGTTTTAGACATATTTGGTTGAAATTTGGTGAGGTGGTGGCTGAGAATGATCCCCATCACAAACTAAAATCCAAATAAAAAAATCCAAGATGGCCGCCATAGTTAAGATGTAAAACTGACAGTAACTGTATCGTTTTTTTTACCATATTGAGCTGAAATTTTGTATGGTGATAGCCAAGAGAAATGCCCTAAAACTTTGTTGAAAATAATTCCACACCAGGAAACGAGCCCCTCCAAGAAGTCATAGTTCTTCTTCTTCTTCTCCACACAGACGTACAAACGTTGGAGTTCGGAGGGCCGTGCGGGCCGCAGAGGTCATGACGCTCCCATGATCGCGTACGACGCCTTACTGGCTGCAGGAAGTGACTGGGCCGAACTGTGCAAACGGGCCATGTTTCATGGAGGTAAGAACTTCACATTACTGGACCTGTAAGAAGTTTGGATCCAGCCAATTTATTGGTTTAAATGCTGTTCTTACGGTGCGGCGTTGCTGTTTCAGGTGAGAGCGAAGCCACAGGCCTGATCGCAGGTTGTCTCTTCGGCCTCCTGCACGGCCTGAGCCCGGTCCCCCAGAACCTGTACCAGGATCTGGACAAGAGAGGGCGGCTGGAGGAGCTGGGAGAAGCCCTGTACAAGGCTGCGTCTGCAGAGAAATGCACAGACAAGTAATGCTGAACTCTGCAAACTGAATGTGCCGCTAACACCACCTCCCTCCCTGTCACCGATCCGTTTCAAGAAGCATCCTGTCCTCTTCTTGCATCTTTCGCTTTGCTGGCCTTGATTTACTTTCTTACCAGAGTTAATTTGTGTTGGACTCACAAAAACTCCTGTAAACTACTCTGAAGTTTGACAAAATGTGGTAAAACTTCAGCAGGTTTCTTTAAAATTTAAAAATGGAAGCAATAACAGAACATCCCCAACTTGTTTTATTACTGTTTTCATTTGCAGAACGAATTTTTAATGATATTAATATGCAAAAAAAGCATTACATGAAAAATATAAAAGCTGATCATTAAATTTGACTGAACAATCATGCACACAGTGACTATTCCTTTTTTCTTCTTACTACATTTAATTTTAGAAATGCTTATACTTTTCTATATCCTTTCCTTTTTTATGCTGCTCCCTGAACTAATTATTCACTTCCAAACTGTACATCTAAGACTTTTATGGAACTAAACTCGAGCCATAAGTTTGTAAAAAAAATATAAAATAAATAAAATAAAATAGAAACTGAAAAAAAAAACATTTGAAACAAAGAAAAAAGTTTTAAACTTCTTGTCAGCCCTCACATTTAAAAAAAATGTAACCAACTTTATGGCCCTAATTTAGCTCCATAGACTCTTGCTTTTGCTGCAGGCATGAAACAACTAATTAAGTGCTCAGTTAAATTATTTTTTTATTTTAATTTGACAGACAAAATAAGAATGGAGCCTGTACTCTGACACTGGATTCAAAAAATTATTTTGTGGCCTAGAGATAACGCGTGGCCACAAATTTTTTACAATTTTTTAAAAAAGTTATGTAACAATTTTATAAATAAGAAAAAAAAACTAAGAGATGAGAAAAAAATTGTTTATTTTGCTACAAAATGACATTTTTATTGTTTTTAAATTTAGGATTATCAGTTTTATTAATGGAGATGCAGGGATTAAGGTTTACATGTCCTTTGTCCTCTGTAGACCAGATTCAATGAAAACCAGGATCGACCCTGATGCCTGTAAGATGAGGAAACTAATTAGAGACCCAAAATGCAGACCGGTGCTTCGAGGGATTCTGGAGAGTCTCCTACAATACCTAACCGAGGACCTGGGCAAGAGGACTCCCAGAAGAGCCGACGGTCCTGATCTACGAAGACAGACTTGTGTGAAGCCAACAAAAACCTCTGAGAGTAAATTTCCAAAGTCCGGAGGAGCAAAAGACCCAAAATCCCGACGGCTCACCTCATTCCAGCTGCTCCAGTCAAAGTTCTTAAAGTCCTCACCCAAACCCTTCATCTCACATCAGAGAGAGGTGGGAACTCTGTCCTCCTGCAGAGCGGCGCCTCGTCAGGACGAAGACACCAAAAGAGACGGCAGAGATCGAACAAAAAGAGCACAAGGCCCGAACAGGCGGAGCAGCGTGAAGGAAATCGTTGCCAAGTTCGCCGTGGCTGAGCGGAAAGAACAAGAACTGAAAACCCAGGAGAAAGAACCGAAACTCGCCGGAAGAGGGATCCTCCTGAGCTCGTTGGTGAAGACGTTTGAGAACGTGGCCACGGTTCACAAGAAAAGTAACTTCAAGTTTTCACACGAGAAGCTTCCCGGAGGTGTTCCGTCTGCAGTCAGAGAGACRGTGGCTCGTCTGGAAGGAGAGAAACCACGAGCGTCGGATCGAACCGTCGATTCTCTGAAGCAGACAAAAACAACTGGTCGAGAACCGGGATCAGGTGGCGCAGAGGACGTTTTCACAAAACTGAACTGTGCAGAAGAAACAGATCCTACGGCGCGAGAGATCTGCAGTTCGTCAAATCAAGCTTCAGCAGGTTTCAGTGGAATCCAGACCAGGTCTAACGAAGCTGAAGCTCCTGCAAAAACACTCAAAAATGGACGTCAGGAGCTGCTTTCTTCTGCCTCTGTGTCCGAGTGGTCGCCACTAGAACCTCGCACAGTTCTTCTGCAAGAAGAGCTTCCACTGATCTGGAACGTGGCCACCATCGTGACTTGCTCACCAGTCCAGTCCAGGTGTGTAGCCTCCTCTCCTGAGGAACATCTATGGGAGGCTTCTGAAAGTCCAAACCTGGACAAGAGAACTGATGGTCCATGTAAAGACCTGGAATCATCTTCCAGGTCTTGTTCGCCGGTCATTAAAAGTCCAAACCAGGACAAGAGATCAGATGATCCATTTGAAGAACCTGAATCGTATTCCAGGACCTGCTCAGCACTTCAGTTCTCTCCAGTGCAACATCTACAGGAGGCTTCTGAAAGTCCAAACCTGGACAAGAGAACTGGAAAAACCACAGCTGATCCATGGGACATGCTGGAATCATCTTCCAGGACTTGCTCACCAGTCCAGTCCAGGTGCGTAGACACCTCTCCTGAGGAACATCTACGAGAGGCTTCTGAAAGTCCAAACCTGGAAAAGAGAACAAGGAAAACCACAGGAGATCCATATGAAGACCTGGAATCATCTTCCAGGACTTGCTCACCAGTCCAGTCCAGGTGCGTACACACCTCTCCTGAGGAACATCTACGAGAGGCTTGTGAAAGTCCAAACCTGGGCAAGAGAACAAGGAAAACCACAGGAGATCCACATGAAGACCTGGAATCATCTTCCAGGACTTGCTCGTCAGTTTGGTCCAGATGTGTAGACTCTGGCAAGAGAACAGAAGATCCACCTGAAGACCTGGAATCCTCTTCCAGGGGATCAGCTGCAGGCGAATCCTTCATAAAAACACCGGAAACTACGGTGAAACCAAGTGAAGCTTCAGGAAGTGACGACTCAAATCTCAGAGTGACGGATCCACGAGGGCTTTCTGTCCTGTGTCAGATTAGTCCTTCCTCTCAATCAGAACAAACTCATCTCACTAAAAACCTGCAGTCACCTCATAACAATAATGATCTTGGTACCGTTTTAAAAACTTTAGAGCATCTTCAAGACGTTGGCTCGAACAGTTCTTGCTATATTAGCAAACCTGGAACAACTAAAGAGAAATCATCTGAAGAAAACGTCTCAGAAGCCGTAGAAAGGGGAAAAGGTTTGAAAAATGGTGATTTAGGGATGCCACAAAGCTTTAGACTTTCTGTAGAACCCACCAGCAACGGTGCGTTCAAAGACCGTGGGTTATCGGTGACTCGGTTTCAACCTGAAAGAGACGTCAAACAAAAACCCAAGTACACAACCATCAACTACGGGGATCCTTCTGTCAAACAAACTTATAAACCCAAAACAATACGATTCACAGACACCTTTAATTTCTAGGCCGAAGCAGGAAGTCACAGTTTTTTTTTTACCGTTCTTCAACAAATAAAATAAAATAAAATAAAATAAATAAATAAACAAACAATTATTAGGGGCTCTGCCTCCATTTGTTTGAATGGCAAAACCTCAAAAATGATCTGTATCTTTTTACTCTTCCGAGAAAATTAATGCGACCCAAACGGTAAAGTGAAGTGTACCCACACAAATTTTATATTGAAACAACCATCTCTGCCCGGTGATCTGTGCTGTTACTTTTAGTGGAGTTTCAAATTACCATGGCGAGGTAAATCRCAAAAATCTAAATACATATTTACGTCATGAATTGTTCATTAAGGTGAGAGTTTTGAATGTAAAATAAACACTCACCGGCCACTTTATTAGTACACCACGCCAGTAACGGGTTGGACCCCCTTTTGCCTTCAGAACTGCCTCAATTCTTCATGGCATAGATTCAACAAGGTGCTGGAAGCATTCCTCAGAGATTTTGGTCCATATTGACATGATGGCATCACACAGTTGCCGCAGATTTGTCGGCTGCACATCCATGATGCGAATCTCCCGTTCCACCACATCCCAAAGATGCTCTATTGGATTGAGATCTGGTGACTGTGGAGGCCATTTGAGTACAGTGAACTCATTGTCATGTTCAAGAAACCAGTCTGAGATGATTCCAGCTTTATGACATGGCRCATWATCCTGCTGAAAGTAGCCATCAGATGTTGGGTACATTGTGGTCATAAAGGGATGGACATGGTCAGCAACAATACTCAGGTAGGCTGTGGCGTTGCAACGATGCTCACTTGGTACCAAGGGGCCCAAAGAGTGCCAAGAAAAGATTCCCCACACCATGACACCACCACCACCAGCCTGAACCGTTGATACAAGGCAGGATGGATCCATGCTTTCATGTTGTTGACGCCAAATTCTGACCCTACCATCCGAATGTCGCAGCAGAAATCGAGACTCATCAGACCAGGCAACGTTTTTCCAATCTTCTCTTGTCCAATTTCAATGAGCTTGTGCAAATTGTAGCCTCAGTTTCCTGTTCTTAGCTGAAAGGAGTGGCACCCGGTGTGGTCTTCTGCTGCTGAAGCCCATCTGCCTCAAAGTTTGACGTACTGTGCGTTCAGAGATGCTCTTCTGCCTACCTCGGTTGTAACGGGTGGTTATTTGAGTCACTGTTGCCTTTCTATCAGCTCGAACCAGTCTGCCCATTCTCCTCTGACCTCTGGCATCAACAAGGCATTTCCGCCCACAGGACTGCCGCTCACTGGATGTTTTTTCTTTTTCGGACCATTCTCTGTAAACCCTAGAGATGGTTGTGCGTGAAAATCCCAGTAGATCAGCAGTTTCTGAAATACTCAGACCAGCCCTTCTGGCACCAACAACCATGCCGCGTTCAAAGGCACTCAAATCACCTTTCTTCCCCATACTGATGCTCGGTTTGAACTRSRRGAKWKTSTYGACCATGTCTACATGCCTAAATGCACTGAGTTGCCGCCATGTGATTGGCTGATTAGAAATTAAGTGTTAACGAGCAGTTGGACAGGTGTACCTAATAAAGTGGCCGGTGAGTGTATGTAACCGTAGTAATAAATGACGATTGGATTTCCTGTGCTTCGTGAACGCGCCACAGGTGTATTTGAGAATACGCGAATCCCGTGAACGCAACATCAGATCTGACTGCGGCAGGGCAAAAGCCGCAAAATCCGCCGTAGTTTCACCGGACAAGAGAAGTAACCGACAGACCCGTCGAAGGTACCGTTTGTCCATGCCTCTTTTTTTAAATTTATTTATTTAGTTTTTTTTTTTGTTTGTTTCCGTAAAGCTTCGTGAAGCTGTGGACCAGCAGGAGCCGGTGATGATGATCAAAGTCGAGGCAAAACTCCACCGTGACCGAGCCGCTGTGTCGATAAAACACTAAAGAAAGGATTTAAAACTACAAAGTAATGCTGTAGTAAGTTGTAAAGATCCCTACAGCTTCCCTCTTTTCCCGGAGCAGCGAGTTAATCCTGGAGGAAACAACAGTGAGCGTCCCGCTTTGCTTTTCCTGCACCGGGGAAACATGGAGGACAAAACAGCGAGCGGCCAGGAAAACTTAGCGCAACTTAAATAGKTTGTTTGGTGAACTTTTTGAGTTTTTGGGAGAAAGGCAGCAGACCATTTACCTGTTGGGAGTTTAGGAAAACCTTTCAGGATTTCACTGGAGCAGAATGGAGAAGATAAAGTCGATCAACGGGACCCACAGCTTCCCCCCCGGCACCAAAGCCAAAGACAGAGTGGACAGGTGCGTAAAACACTTAAAAACCTAAAGATAGTTTAAAACTATATTTATAAATACTTAAATTAAAAAAACATGGCCACCCAGGTTAATAACTTGCTAAAACAAACAAACAAATCGACTAATTTTATCCTCAGTGTGTGGAAATAAACAAAACAAAGCCGTTTTAAGATACTACATGTTAGCTAGCAGTTCGGCGATTATCGCGTGCACTTAACCTGCTAAATATCGCGATAACAGGGAAAACAAACAAATGTGTGGGTCGTGGGCCGGAATCTGTTCTTCAGCTGTCTAAACCTGGGCCAGGAAGGTTTTTTTTAAATAAGTATTTAAAAAACAAATACCAATGTTTTCACACTGTTATTTTTGAGAGACTAAAAATGGATAAACAAGCACTTGCTTGGTTAGCCACATTAGCCTAGCCTGGATGTGGACTTTAACTATTTTATTCATACATTGTTCTTTAAAATGCCTGTGACATAATTTTTTTTCAATAATTATGAATGCATTTTTGGAAAGACAACATTGATAACATTGCAAAAATAATTTTACACTGCTGAGATGAACAGTTGAGGTATTTGCATGTGAAGAAACAGGAAGTGATGTCAAAGGGGAACGTCTGCATGTAAACAGAGCGCTGCTACAAGGCTAACAATACATCAGAGATGAAGAGTCAGAGTTCAAATCATATTACAAAAGCAAAAAAAAAAGGGAAAAAAGAGTTTAATTTCTTGAAGAATTCCCCTTTGATGTCACTTCCTGTTTCACTTTGGCTGAGTCAAATTCTGAAGAAAATCTGCCAGTTTTGTGACAAAATGGGTACAATTGTGTGTATTATGCCAAGTTTCTTTAATATAAAGATGTTTGACATTTTGTATTTGAGTGAGATGCATGTCACAGGCACTTTAAGACTAATTTCCTGGTTAAGCTACAAATTATTGGTATCGATTAAACAGCATCAATACATTTTCTTCGGCTTCCTTCCGGTTCACAGTAAAGCTAGTATCTGTCTCCAGTGATAACTGTGCAAAAAAAGAAGGGAACTCCCTGGGCAGGTTTCCAGTTCATCACATTTTTATTTTTGGTTTGTTGCGTCACAGCATCACATACATGTCTGGTTTATCTACTGTGCCAATTTGGGGTAATATCCAGAAACATACTGTATTAACAAGAATCTTGATACAAACAACAAACAAGTATTTCTGTGTGGACTAGATGACCCTTCCCACAACATTTGCATAGTGTTTTCAGCACGTGGAYGAAATGTTTGTAGTTTACAGCACAATAAAATGTTTCCAAATTTAACAGTACAGCTTTAAAGAGGCCGTGTAGATGCATTAATTCCTTGGGAATGTCTTTGCTCTTGTAGAAAGGTTAAGCTACTGCAAGATTATCATGTTACCTAAGGCATTAGGTTGATCCACCTCCACCCACTGTTTTCTGYATAGCAAAGCTCGGCCTTTGTGCTGAAATGTCTTGTGGTTAATTTTCCTTCTGTACTGGACGAGCTGTAGCTCTTTTAAATGTCCCGGTTCATTAAGTTCAAGCACAACTCTTTGAGAACATGGCTGATTTTTGTCAAGATTGGTTTAGTTTCTGGTTTAGTTTCAACATGTGTTTTTATAGAACCATACGTTTGTTGTTCTAGAACTGGGCGGTATATGACCCAAATTTTATATCACTGTATTTTCAACAATTACACCGGTTTCATGGTATTTGATGGTATTTTTTTCATCACAGCTCAGCTGATAATAAACTGTACAAATGTTGCTTACTGACTTTTTAATTTTATTGTACCTCTGTCTGTGTGTCTGTTTCCCTCCACTGTACCTAGGGCTGCYACGATTAGTCGATTAATCGACGACTGATCGATTATTAAAATAATCTGACTAATTTAATAATCGATTAATCTTTTTTTTTTTTGTTCTTTACTTTGTTTTTCTCTTCAAACTGCTTTGACACCTTCCCTCTGCCTTTCTGTCCTTGACACACATGCACAGTAGTGGTAACTGGGGTAGGCCGTGGACGTCACAAGACATTATACAGACAGGCTCTGGTATCATGGCTACCCGGCAATGTAGCTTAAAAGTGTGGGATCATTTTAAGAAAATGAAAGAGAAACCTGTGTAATATCTGCAGAGCAGAACTTACCTTCCACAGCAATTATTTTTAGTTAGCATATAGCTAAAATCTAACAATGGTTATATAATATCAGCTGCATTCTGGCGCAATAAGCTGTATGTTTTATATTCAATTAACGTATGATCCGATTAGTCGACTAATCGAAAAAATAATCGGTGATTAATCAACTATGAAAATACCGGTAATCTTTTGTTGCAGCTTTAACTGTAYGTCTGTTCTTCTTTGCCTGGTTGTAGAAGGTAATCGTGCATTTTGGTCCGATCATGACGGGTTGAGAACAGATCATTATCGGGTCTATCGTGTGTTAATAAAGCTTAAAAGGACAACTCACCTTGCACACCAGTCAACTCAGCTCTACTACAAAACTACTTCCCCTGACCCCAGGGCTTTTCCCAATAGAAGTATGTTAAAGTCTCCATGCATTAACATCTCAATTATAACGTTGTGCATTAAATCTAACCGTGCACGTCACTGAAGAGATGTTTTACTACATTCAGCGATGGTGAAAATGGGATGTTTTTTTTTTTTGCTTCTGTCAATATACGCAGCGGAATCWCCACCCGCTACCAGTTACTCTAACGATAACATTAGCATGCTAATGCACATAGCGGTGCTGCGAGGAAAAGTGTCCCCCGGGAAACAGTTCACTGGCGGCCGCAACGAAACGTTCAGAACGTGTTCAGGGTATTTAAACCGGTATGTCCGGTATTCAGATAATTCATAAAACAAAAATAAAAACTGGTATTTGGTACACAACGATATACCGCCCAGCATTATGTTGTTCCATACAAATGGTTTGTTTTTAACTCGTTTGTTTGGACCAGAGTGGATCCGTACGGCTTCGAGCGCTCAGAGGACTTTGACTACGAGTCGTACGAGGAGCTCATGTCCGAGTATCTGGTCGTGCTCACCCGACGGTCCATCAAGTGGTCCAGACTGCTGAAGGGTAAAAGAAAGGTGCAGAAGAACGTGACACGTGAGTGCGAAAGCCAAATCCACGCAGAACAAAGGCACGCGTGAAGAAACTCAACTGAACCTGGGTTTTTATGATTTCAGTAAAGCGCTACGTCCGTAAGGGGGTTCCCAACGAACATCGGGCCCTGATCTGGATGGCAGCCAGCGGTGCTCAGGACCAGCTGGACAAGAACCCAGGGTACTACCAGTCTCTGCTGGCAGCCCAGCATGACCCTAAACTTGTGGAGACCGTCAGAACAGGTTATTTTTCTCATTCACTTTGAAAAATCCACCACAGAGAAGAGGTGTCGAGTATTTTATTTAACAAGTAGACAAGAATGAGAGAGAGAGAGGAATGAGCAAAAACAACACAAATGCCCACCAACACCCTCTTAAAGGGGCAGTAATTACAGCTTTGCATCATCTTCTACATGTCTTCTCAAGTCCTGCTCACCAGGAGGAAAACTTTTCTGCATTCTTGGATGGTTGTTGTGAGATAAACTGCACCGGAGCTCCTCTGTGCTGCTCACTCTCCCTTTAAAACAGATTAGTCTGCTGCTAAAAGGCAACACAACAACACGCTGCAATTAAAGGCTTTAATGCATTTAGCTGTTGGTTTGGTTTATGTATGTTAAACTAAAGAAACTAACCACTCTAAATGATAAGTCTAATTATAACAGAATCTGTACACCCACACGGCACATGAACGGTAGAAATAACGCGGTGTCTCCTCTTCCAGACCTGAACAGAACGTTTCCAGATAACGTCCATTTCCGCAGAACATCCAGCCCCTGTCTGCTGAAAACCCTGAACAACGTGCTGCTGGCCTACGGTCACCACCACCCAGCTGTGGGCTACTGCCAGGTGAAGATTTGAATGTGTTTGAAATAAAATACCGTGATGTGTAATAACACGTGCTCCGGCAGGATCCGTGTGAAACTCGTGTGTGTGTCTGTTTTTGTTTGCCTTCAGGGGATGAACTTTGTTGCCGGTTACCTCCTCATCGTCACAAAGGATGAAGAGAAGGCCTTCTGGCTGATGGACGCTCTGTTCGGTAGAATTCTACCAGGTGGGGATCCATGTTGGACTCCTCTTGTTGTGTTTTTAGTGATGGTTGTGTGTCTGAGCTCTGTGCTGGGATAAGAGTTATCCTTTTAGTGTCTCGTGGTCTAAAACTGGTTTGGATCTGCTTTTATCAGCAGAGAACCAAAGAGTTTTAATGTATTTTAGGATAAACTCTTTAGCAGTTATCAGTAATATTTAAGTATTTTGTTTTTGAGATTATCATTGAGTGTTTTCCTTTGAAGGAAGTTTGAAACACTTTACTTTAAAGTAGTTTGGTAATTAGGTGAGTAAATAAAAAGTAATTTATCTTTAACCAGAGGAATGTTTTGAATGACTGCAGGAATTTGCTGAAGTGTTTAAAAATGTTTTCAGAATCGTAATACTTTATTGATCCCTGGGGGGCAATTATTACAGTAGCAACCGTTCAAGTAAGCATTAAAGATAAAATATAAAGGAAAAGTATTAGAGCACACAAGGAAGTAAATATAAAGGAAAAAAATAAAAGCGCACACAAGGAAGTAAATATAATATAAAGCAAAAAAATATTAGAGCACACAAGGAAGTAAATATAATATAAAGCAAAAAAATATTAGAGCACACAAGGAAGTAAATATAATATAAAGCAAAAAAATATTAGAGCACACAAGGAAGTAAATAAAAGGAAAAAAATATTAGAGCACACAAGAAAGTAAATATAATACTAGACATGGGTTTTTACGATGTAAGTGTGCATTGCCACGTAGCATGTCATTGCAGCATGGCTTTGCCTGCAGCATTGGACTTGCAGAATGAACTTTGACCAAGTTCAAAAATG